AAGAAGCGCTATAGGGAACTAACTGCAGGAAAGTAGTACTTGTTGAATTATTTAGTCTGGTTTAATTTAGCTCTTTTAAGCGTATCATTGGCGGTACAAAAAAGTGAAAAATTTTCAAATAGCAACAAGTTCTGCTATTGGTGAAAGCGTAATACTTAACATATTTATAAGTATTGGTAGTGAAAAAGACCCTGGAAGGCAGTTTGCATTTGAAGTTTAGACCCCTGTAACCACTTTTGGTGAAGAGCTTCTGTTAAAAATGAATATACTTTAGCTTTTTTAAATAACAAGGACGGAAACAAAAGTACCGAAGTGTAGAAGTCCATCGGATAACTAAAGAAACAAAAAAATTGTTTGATATTTTGCCTGGATTACTAGTCTGAAGGAAATTTGCTTTAGCTCAACAAATGAGCTGTTTAATTGACGAACATAAAACAACTGATTTTGGAAAACCATTTCAGTCACTAATTCAAAAGCCAATAAATCTTTGGAAGATTTGCAAGAAAATCGTTAGAAATGCGTCTTTTCTTTTCTTATTTTTTCTTTAATTTTTTTTTATTTGGTAAGTCGTATATACAAACGAAATAAAAGTAATGCTTACTCTGTGCTGAGGTTCTTCGAGATCGGCAGCAAAATCAGCATCTAAGTTCCCAGAAATAGCTCTCTTCAATTCCGGCCCAATTTCGTGCAAAGTTCTTAAACCTGCTTGTAAAGCCATAGCTTGCGATGTTGGCTGTGGAGTTATTCCTGAATTTAGTTAACTACCGCTTAGAACAACTCTTAAAAGTGAGTTAAAATCTATCGTCCGAACCGGAACAGAAGAAGCTGACATTATTTGAAGTTGGCGCAAAAAAATTGTTGACAGATAGCAAGAGTTTCAAGAAGGACCAAAAAGTTGAAATAGTTAAAAATGAATGAATAAGAAGTGCAGATAAAACTGCTGTTTGCATTTTATATTTTGCAAAACTATTTATACAATTAATTACCTTTTGATTCTAATTCTTTACGCTTTTTAAACCTTCTAAAATAGTCCTGAATGAGGAAAGTTGCGTAGAACTTTCCAACCGTCACGTCATCGTCTCCTAAAATAGAACAGTTTGTTAAACAAACATTCTTTCAGACTTTAGACAATGACTGTATTTAACGCTATAAAGGCAGTTCCTAAGTGTTTTTTTTATTTATATTAAACTTGTGGTGACGTCAATGCAAATAAGTTACTTCCGGCAGGTGGGACGACTTCATCTAGCATCTTTTGCGGTGTACGTTTCCATATTCGTTTGATCGCTGCTCTCAACTGCTCGTTAACTTCATCAATGTTACCTTCAGTATATATTTTCAAATTTGTACGAACCAAGGCGAATAACGTTGCATTGAAGCATACGGTGCCGTCGGAATTCAATGGCATATTCATCGAAACTAAGCGCTAAAAATCAATAATTAATTTAACAATAGTCTTCTATTGAAACCAAGCTTCACTGCTGAAAAGCTGTTGTTGTATTCTCTTGATTATTTGATTCTTGCTAAGAATACCAACCTTGCAAGCAAGCCTATGTGGACAAAGCTTCCCAAAACCAAGAGGTGGAGAAATTTTTCGCAACAAGGTAACGACGTCAAGATGCTTAATTCTACCCTTGGCGTCAGGATCGTATTCAGACCATAAGCGAACAAACTCTTCCAGGTGATGTGGACCAAGAATACTCCAGTCACGTGTTAAATAATCAAAATTATCCATAATGACAGCCACAAACAGGTTAATAACCTGAGGAAATAAAATGTAAGTAGGAAAGAAATAGAATAAAAAAATTTTGAACGACGACTGCTGCTAATCATACTATTTATTTTTTTATTTATATCAAAACTTGATAACAAAACTTTAACAAAAAAGATTTCTTTATTGTCAAATAAAAATCAAAGAATTTGAATTATAAACCTACCAAAAATGAGCACAACATGAAAAATGATATGAAATATGGGTAAGCAAAGTTGACGCCGCATCTCGGAAGTATCGTTGACGTGCTATTCGATCCTTCGTCACTTGCCGGATCGCACTTCACTTCCTCTCGATCAGCACATGATAGCATAATGTCTTGCCATGCTTCACCAGTTGCAGAACTTAAGTTTTTTGAGTTACCAAAGCATTAAAAACTAGTGAACATTTTCGAACCGAATGACCGCTGCTTTAAACTTCAATTTAACTACACTTACCGAAACAACACGAGAACCGCAGCAGGAAAAGTATGAAAGTTATTATTCCGATGTATTTCCGTATCATCGTTCAAGGCAATCTTTCCAAAGACCTGTTACAAAAAAATGAATTTTATACAAAAGGAGCGTTTTCTGGTTTTATCAACTATTTTATTGGTCTTGCTATCATTATGCTAAGCACAAAAGTTGCTGAATTGTGATCGCTGCTTTCCAAACTATCGCAATTGTAGCCTAATCTTCTTTTGTTGATGTCGTATGAAAAAGCAAAGATTTAATAAAAAAGCTTTTACCAGAAAAACAAAAAGACCAAGTAAAAGAAACCTGCATTCCGATTACAGCATAAATGAAAAACAGTAAAACAATGAGCAATGCAACGTAAGGAAGCGCCTGCAAATATTACAGAATTAGATGCCAAAATTGCAAAAAAAGTGCATAATTTTGGAAGAAAAATGAATAAAATAAACCAATATAAAAGTAAAAATAAACACCTGGAAACTTTTCATAAACGTCCACAATAGTGTACGAATACCCTCTCCTCTGCTGAGCAATTTTACAAGACGCATTACACGAAACAAACGGAAAAAATTTATGCTGATAATGCTACCTCCTGGCGACAACTTGCCATAAACGATATCCAAGAAAGATCCCAAAACAATGACAAAATCAAATGCATTCCACCTGAAATAAATAAGTGAAAGAGGTCTCAAAAATTTAGCTAGAACTGTCGTTATTATGATCTCGGATAATGCTTAATAAAAGATAAGGCGCAGTGATTGACATATGGTAATATTTAGAAGGTTTTTATCTCAAAGGATATGTAAACTGTTTACTGCACTAAAAAAAAGCAGACCTGTCGCCAAAATAATTTTTTGGATTTAATGCAATCATTTTGAAGAATGCTTCTAATGCAAATACACCAGTAAATATTAAGTTTAGATAATCCAGAACGTCTTCCATTTTTTTATGTGGTGGATAATGCTTCAGTGCTAAAGTTATCGTATTCGCTAGGATAATAATAAAGATGCCATATTCGAAAAATTGTGACGTAACGAACCACCAAACTCGATATTGAAATCGATTATGCGGTATGTAACGCCGCTGTGGTTTTGCTTTCAAAGCAAATTCAATGCATTTTCGCTGCAAAAAAAGTGCATTGCAGTACAAGTAATGGTAAGCTTGTAAAGTAAACCAATTATACCACTACAGAAGAAGTAATTTAGCATCCATAAATCCTATCAATGAGTTGAAATTTTATTTATAGTTAATCAGATAGCGACTGAACTATCATTACGATGAAAATAGACCAAAAAGCTAATACTGTAACATACAGTTAACATCAGAAGAATATTACCTGGTTTTTATCAAGTTCACAATTCTCGTACTCTCTTTCACCTTCATTCTGAAAAGTGACGATAACGAAACCGACGAAAATGTTCATCATGAAGAACGCAATTACAACAATAAATGCTATGAAAAATATTGCGACGGCTTGACGTGCATTGTACACAGGACCTCGATCTTCTTCATTTGAGTTGATTGCCACATAAAGTAGGCTATAAGACAACGTTGGTAACAATTTGTTGTTGTCTATTGTTTGAAATTTAGAAACTGCAGTTGCATAAGACAGTAAAATCTTACTGTTCTTTAATGTTTTTAGTTAAGTCAAAAACAAAATATGGTAAATAAAGCTTACTCTGGCCATCCTTCAAACGTAGAAACGACAAACAGTGATATCATAGCATCCATAACATTATCAAAGTTGAAATCGTTCTTCGTCCATTCACGCGTCATTCTCTGTGGTTTTGTTGGGTCACCATCAGCATACTGTAGGAATTCACCCCTATAAAAAAATATGAGACATGAATTTGACAGTATTCACCAATTAATAAAAATAAATCACTGTCATCACTGTTCTTTAAAGAAATCATTTGTTATATTTTACAGTGTAACAGTGTAAAAACTATTACTATTGTTATATTTTTTCACAAGGTACCGTTAGGTCAGAAATGATACTAAAGTGTGACAAAGTGACAAGCAAAATACAAGAGAAAAAAAAACGAATGGTAAGATACGTTCAAAACAGCATTGCTGGTAAAGTATCAGAACCCTTAGTTTAAGACCCAAAAACAGTACACTACCTGCATTCCAGTTCAGTCATTTTAGACTCATCATTACACCTGAAGAATGTTCCCTTAAAAAGCTGTACCCCGATAATGGCAAACATAAATTGGAGCATAAAGGTAACAAGCATGATATTGCCGATAGTTTTTACGGCTACAATCACACACTGCACTACATGCTGAAAAAAGAACAGTAAATTTCACTGTTGCTGTTTTTATTTTAAAGAATAGCATAAAATAATTGGTAACCCAAAAAGGAAGAAATCATGCACAGATTTTCAAATTATTTTTTTTACCTTCAATCCCTTTGCACGATTGATAGCACGCAAAGGCCTCAACACTCGAAGAACACGAAGAATCTTGACTACAGATATAGCGTCAGATTTAAGAATAAATGAAACCAAAGATACGGCAACAACAAGAATATCAAGAAGATTGAATGCATTACGACAGAATGAGCCTTTATGAAAGACAAGCCCGTATACAACAACTTTTAGCGAGATTTCTAGCGTAAATACGGCGGTGAAAAAATAATCAAAATAGTTCAATACCTAGAAAAATGATATAGTTGTAAGTCAGTAAATATAGTTTTTAAACGTATAACCTTATAAAAAACTGCCAATGTTAATCAATAGTTGTAAAGTCATTCAGTATAAAAATATGTTTATAGAAGTAAACTAACTCTATTCCGAAAAGACTGTGCCTTCAACGGATCTTCAGCAGCTAACATTGCACTGGATATCAAGATGCATATTAGAACACTATTTGTAAAATAAGAATGATTTACAATTTTATTGCATACAACCCTGAAAACAAAAGATGAAAAACTGAACAAATTGCTTTGCCATCATATATACTATTTTTAGTGTCGACAAGCGTTCAACATGCGCAAAACAGTGATCTAGAAATGTAGCAAACTGGACTTTTGTTAAGGTGTATACCTAAATGGATTTTGATATGACAGTATAAACAGTGACGATGCTTTTGGAATAGGTTTCATGTGTTTAACGGTTGTAACTTCCGACATACGTCTAGGACGTGCTCCGCCAACTTCAACCTCCTCTTTTTCATCCTCCATTATTCTGAAACATTCGCTAATCCTACCAATAATATCTTACAAGTAATCCCCCTTTTCTTTCTTTCTGGAATATACAATATCTTACTCTAATACCAAACATACTAAAGACAAAAATAGCAATAAGAGCTGATATAAAAAAGACCTACCTAGCGTCGTCTCTGATCTCATCATTCTCATTTTCATCGTACTTTTCATCTTCATACTCTTCTTCCACTCCTTCATCTTCAACTTCTGAAGCAAAATTCAAGCTAGAACCTTACCAAATCAAATACTGATTTTTTAAGCCAGTGCTCAATAACGAGTATAGTCTATAAACACAAAGTGTTTGAATTACCTGCTTGTTCCTCTTCTTTTTCGGCATTTGTCAAACTGTCAGCGTCAGCCAAGTTATCGACAGCGATAGCCAAGAAGACGTTCAGCAAGATATAGTTACCACAGATGAAAAGAACAATGAAGTACACGCATACGCACACACCAATAGAACCAACCCCACCAAATGAAGCAATGCCATGATACATCACTGAGTTCCAATCTTCACCAGTCAGTATCTGCAGCAATATTTGTAATCACACAAATTCTTGCTTTTTTGAAAAATATTTAAAAAAAATAGTTGAAAAAAGAAAAAAATTTTAGACAGTCGAACGTAGAAATAAAACCAACTTGGAATACTGTAAGTAAAGACTGTACAAATGTATCAAAGTTAGCTCGAGGTTTAGGCTTCATTGGCTCAAAGTTGAATTTACCACCGAATACCTAAAGAACATTTTTGACGATTAATTGGTCCTGCTAAATAAATACTATTTTTTTTCAAGACAGAAGAACGCGCAGCGTTAAAAGCAAGAAAACGTTTTGCTGTTTTTTTAAAAAAAATCTTACCTGCATTCCAAGTAGAGCAAAAATTACAATAAACAGAAAAAGTAGTAGTAGAAGTGACATGATAGATCGTAGAGAGTTGAGAAGAGAAGAGACCAAATTTCGAAGCGAAGTCCAGTATCTGCAAAAAATAAGCATAATTACTTTAAAAGACTGTTAAAGCCAAGAAACTGAAACGTTACAATACGAGAAAGGTAGCAAGATAAACTCGGAAAACTTTGGTGTAAAAAAATTTTATAAATTTTACTTTGTCACTTTGAATATCCTCAACAGTCTGGCAGAACGTAACACAGACACTCCAAGTGGTTTCATTAAATTTAATCTTACGCATACAAATTCGATAATTGAACTGAAAACTACCTGATCATAATTATGTGTTCAAATTGTAAAAAAAGCAACGAAACTAACAGAGTAATCGTTTGGTTAACAAACAGAGAATTATTTGTAGATATAATGCTATAATTTTTTTCAGTTTACCTAATAACGACGAAACAGTCAAATCTGTTGAACTGTGAGGTGGTATATGCAGTAAACCCAAGCGAATACATCTTGATTAGCATCTCAATTGAGAATAATACAACAAAAAACAAGTTTGCACCAGCTGCAAAAAGTACTTTTTTGAACAAATAATTTCAAACAGAAAATCAGCAACAACAGTTAAAATGCCATTGTCAAACTAACTTTGAAAATGATCTAGCCACGGTTCCTGCTTGTAATGTTCAGAGGTCAAGACAAGCGTATTGAGCAACACAAGTACAATGACTAACCAGTAAAAAGTTTGTGATTTAACGAGCCTAAATTGTCGTTTGTAACATTCATATCATATCAGTAGCAGCAATTTTACATTACTTTACGGCACTGAGCTTTATAAACCATTTTAGACAGTAGACTTGATTGTATTACAACAGAAAAGATCTTGAGAATCAGGAAGAAAACAAACTTTCTGCACCACCGCCGACAGCGTCTGTTCAACTTTTGAAACCTTTTAAACCGTTTACTCCATAGTGGCAACTTAGTTTCATCAAATTTTGGCTCACCTTCTTCATCGGCTTCTTGACCTGAAAGTTCTATTCTTAACTTGGTCCCAGCTACTGCACCTGCTTACTTGAATCTACTACAATTTTTGATGCTTTATTACGCATATAACTGAAAATGCTTTGAACCAAAATTTACAAATCACTGAATTTTAGTAACTTGCTTATCTCCTAATAGAAAGCTAACCTGCAAATTGTTGATCTTCGTCAGGTTCATCATCATTTACCGGCTCTTCCATATCTTCGGCTTGATTGATCCAGTCCAAGTATCCCTGAAAGGTATTCTTTTTACTGTTTACAGAAAACCATTACCGTAGACGCAAAAAACATTTTCAAAGATAAAACAAAGCGTGCAAACCTTTAAATCTTCCTCTAACTGTTGTTTCTCTCGAAACTTTTGAAAAAGTCCTCGAGCTCGTGCTTTCTCTCTCTCCTTAGAAAATTCTCTGAAATTATTATTTTTTCATACAGTTTCAATAAAACACTAAGAAATGTCAAAAAGCAATAAAAGACAACAAAAAAAAAGCATTTTACCCAGAAAGAACACCCAAAACCAAATTAAGCACGAAGAAAGAGCCCAAGATCACCAAAGTCACAAAGTAAATCCAGGGCCATTCACGTCCTACCGCATCGTTGATCTGTAAGCAAAACGAGCTAGTTTACACACAGTTTATTAGTTGTGACACCAAATCGACAATGAAAAGCAACCAGTTACATTTGGAATTTGGCAGATCTTATCGTCGGTTTTAACCTATGACTTCAAACTACTGACCAAGCTGGTTTGAAGCGTTCAAAAATTTCTGTTTATTTTCAGCGTTTCAAATCAAAGAGAATCATTTCAGTTTTTGTAAATATGACTATTTTATACCCAATACATGACATCAGTCCATCCTTCCAATGAAACGCATTGAAAAACGGTGAGCATAGCTAGACCGAAGTTATCAAAGTTGGTAATTCCATTGTTTGGACCTTGCCACGATGTCTCATTCGCATTCCTGCATTCCCATTGGCCTTTTTCGACACCCAAGCCTGAAACTGTCGACAAACATCAAAAGAGAAAAAAAAAGCAAAAAAAGGAATTAAGCCAAAGTTCTGTGTGCAATAAAGTTGGCTCGAATTTTTGGTAGTTAAAAACAGTGATATAAATGAGAAAAAGTGACCATCAGGTTCACAGTGAAAAGCGCTAGCAATTGCAGGACTCGAAGCACAAGGTGACGGTTCCTTCTGCGCTAATTGTCCAGTAAGTGAATCAACGCTGTAATACAAAAATTAAGACCACTATCAAAAAAGTCACAGTGTGGGAACGGTCTCAACTAGCTGAATTTTAATGACCTGCTTCATTTGCAATTCATTGTTTGTAACTAATGATACGTAAAAACACTACAATAACATGAACATTTTTGCACTTCTGAATAAACCCTACAGTATCGACAGCAGCGTGAATAATGGTAGTCTTTTCTAAAGTGTCACTGTGTATTATCTGGTTAGTGATATACTTTTTGAGCAAAAATTCTGGTAATTGAGCATTTGTTTTTTGCCTATTTTTTTTGTTATTCACAGATAGTTTCCAAAAGAATTCCTTAGCTCTATACCAATAAAACTTCTGTTTGCCGAGCACTTCGGTACGATAATTAGACGCTTTTTTCTGTTGCTGTTCTCAACGTTATACATATTTTGTTATTGAAAATGACAGAAAAAAAAAGCGTGAAAGACAAGAAAAAAATTGACTAGACACAATTGGCTTACCAAGTGTTATGCATTTTTCCAGCAAATAATTCGAGACCAATAATTGCATAAATAATAATTACAAACATCACAAGCAAAGCGATATGAAGTAAAGGTATCATTGCCCGCAAAATAGCATTTAACACTACCTGCAGACCTGAAATATTTACAGTTTTTATCAGCATTTCATAGCAATAATAACATTTGACAGCTACTGTTTTTTGAAGAAAAAAACTGATAAAAAATTTTTTTTATTCTTATTGAAAAAGGTTTAAAAATGTTGAGAAAAAAGTTCTTGCTACTTACTAGGCACTCCAGAAACAAGACGAAGCGGCCGCAGTACCCGAAACGCTCTTAACGCTTTTACATCGAATCCCTGGATGTTCATTCTTGACAACACCGTACTTATCAAACTGTAAGAGTTTTTTTAGTATATGCTAACTAAAAATTTTTGATACACAAAATTTTTGGGTATAATTTTAAATGTGTAA